CATGTGAACTGAGCAGATAACTATCAGTTTTGAATAACACTTATAATGGGGCACTGCATTCTATCATAAACAAACCTCATTCTGTTCTATATTAGACATGCGATTTTATCGTTATTTTTTGTTTTGTTTTTAACCATTCGTTACACCGCATTGTGTGCTGTTCACCGGAAGTTTCAGCCACATTGTTTGCGTGCTTGGGAATGGGCTGGACAGTCTGTTAAATCGATGATCTCAATTATTTAGTTTACTTCATGTGGGTAATGGAGGATTTGGTTAAGTTTCAAATGACAATTCGTCGTGTATATGGCAAATGAAGCGTGAACTGAAAAGCTCGGAAGCACTGGACAGCTGTTTCGACCTGGTTGGGTCTCATCAGCAGTGCGAATCCATCGACCCGACTGGGGATCGAACCCGGGACAAGTCACGACGAATTGTCATTTGATATTTAGTTTACGTTTACCATCTACTTCTTCGCATTAATGACCTTTGTTTTTCAATCCACATGGTATCATTGTCTCCACTGATAGTGTATCACAACCACATAGTAATCGGACTGGCATGTATTTGTTTTGTGTGTGTGTGTGTCTTACTGTAAGTGGCAAAACCGAGTGCTTTGACAAACTAATAGTCACATGCTTTGAATGTCCGTGTACTGTTTCTATGTGGGTGTCTGTGCAAAAGTCCTGTTAGGGTCAACAATGTGATATTTCTCGCTCTCCTGCGCCGTCCCCCGCGCATTGTTTTCGATCCTTTCGTGCGCCAGGCGAATCCGTCCACTCTACCGGCTCCGATGACCAAATCCACACCGTTGCACGGGGATCATATTCTTATGGGCCGAATCCATTCTTCCGACGGAACTGCACGATCTGTGCGACCAATTTCCAGCGGAGGTACGTGAGTCATTTGATCTATCATCCCTATCTTTGTCCACTTTGCCAAGACATGGACCCCTTAGTTGAGGACGTTGATAACTACTCCGTTTTGGAAAGATATTCATCTTGGCATTAAAATCAACACACTTTGTATCGCATCTCATGTGGTTCAAACGGCATTGCAACCATTTGCCCGCATTAAAGAGTGCCACGCAGTTAGATTAGGCCGCAGACGGGCCAAATCACTAATCAGAGCACTTGGTTGAAAAGTTTCAAGGTTATTGCCTATTCCATCCCCGAAATAAACGCGAGTTTTCAATCGGCTCTGAGAATAGCCGAGGCGATCGGAATATGTAATGTTATTCCTGATCTCTCGGGACACAAGCGTTTGATCTAGTCACTCCAATTACTCTGAACGGTAATACAAATGTAAATCATGGAGATTTCTCTTTTCTACAAAGATTATTGTACTGTGGTTTGTTTGGCACCCAGTCTGGATTCAGACGTGTATACAATACAATATATTGCCCAGAGGCAAAAAGTTAATTGAACCAATCACCTACAGCGAACATTTCGAGCGCAACGATTTCTCAACCGAGATGGGTGCTGGTCGTACCTAACTATGTGATCTGTTTTCTTATGCTTCCCAGGTTATCTTTAAACAGTTTAAAATGACTTGCTTACACGATGATATCATCATATACAATCAATCGAAACAAATCATCCACTACTCCTCCCAATGGGGTGAATTGTTGAGCTTAAATTATATGTTTTTAAGATGCTTTTGTGTTATCCCTGAACCAAACGGTTTGGTCTACGGTGAAGTCAGATAAAAATCAAACCCCCCAGTTATATATGTCACATACGTCTGACGCCAGATTGTGTGCCAGAAAAATCGTGGTACAATAATCTTTATAAAAAGAAAAACGCTCCACGATTTGCAAATGGGCCGAATACTGCCAAGTTGCCCAGGCCAAGGCAGGGGGATTTTCTTGCGGAATCCACAACCGGAGCCTTTGACTAACCAAAGCCTGACCCGCAAGGCAGCGGGGCGGTGTGCAAAAACCGCAATCCATTGGGAGCCGGTGTCCAGTTCATCGAATCATACGCCTTTCGGATGGGGTCAAATGTCCAAGGCGCACAATACACCTTGATGCCCAATCAAGCCGGTGACCATTGCCACAAGCTGCAAGTTGTGTATGTGGTTCGTACGTCTCCTCGTGGTTGGTTTGGAATCAGAGTTTTAAGCCAACTCCCCTAGGTGAACTACCAGTGGTCCACCAACCCGGTTATAACCTCGAATGTTGACTTTTTGTCCTCTCTCCGGTTGGAAAACACTTCCATGAGAAGGCAATGAGTGGAGCAGAAACCACTTGAGGCGCCTGGTTGTATGGGGGCCATCACGACGAGACTGCACCTTGACGCGGTGTGATGACTTGCGTACCTCAATGACCCCGCGAGCTATACAGGATGGCTTCCCACAGCCGTAGATCCAATCATGCCTGAAAGGTCAACAGGTAGAGGCCAGACAAAGCTCTGTCTCACAAAGCCAGCTGTTTGGGCACCCGGCTTCCTTTGCTATCCACATCCGCCCCTGGAGNACTCCAGCAAATAAACGGTGAGGGCAATTTACCGGTCGAAAAACCCCTGCTAGATGGACGTAGGAGAGGGGTACCTGGGGCTTCCTCTGGACGGTGGGAGAAGTCAACGCACTTTATTGGACAGCTACCGCCCGCCCATGCTGTCCCGTCCACGTTCCGCTTGTCTCATTGGGTGCATGAGGCTGAGGGCTGATCCCGAAAAGCGGATCGATAATCAACCCATCAGCGAACAACAAACTTAACCGAAATTTATAGGCCTTGCGTGACAGGTCTCCAGAGGCTCCCACGCGGGTGCTTCTTTCACGCTCCCGCGTTGGATTTACGCCCCACTGCCTTGTGGGTCAGACTTCTGAGTCAAAAGGGCTCCGGTTAGGGTTCCCAAGGAAAAACCCCTTCGTCGGTGTGGGCTACCGCGAAGTATGCCGTGTCCTAAAGTCTTGGGTACCCATTTGGAAAATCATCTTTCCCTTCTATCTAGTTCTTCTCTACCCCGATTAATCCCAGATGCCTCCTGTTTACACCGCTCATCGAATATCACTCAGCGTTTTACCATCAAGGCCAGAGATTCAGAAGCTATAGGATTTTTAAAGCCAAAATACCCGTTTCACTTGGCCGCGTTCAATGTCCACAAGCTCTGTCAGATTGGCTAACAAGCTGCCCTGGCGAAAACTCTCGAAATTTCAATGTACATGTATGTTGTGTCTCCGAAACACCCATACAAGACCCCACTTTCATCATATCTCTGCGTTTTTCTGAACCAACCTCAACCTCACGCGTCACCCTTCGTGTGTCAGGCGATTCGGCATCCAAAGCTCGCGGTGTTGCTGGTGTCGGGATAGCGCCAAGTGC